AAAAGGACGGCACGTGTAAATGTGTTGCAACTAGCTTCTGAAAATCAGCGCGAGATCTTCAGTAGCTGTCAGGCTGTTCAAGACAAACCTCAGGAGGGGAAGGGCTGCCAGGCCGCTCATCGTGCAAACGTTGGAAGCATCCACAAATCTTTCCGAGCTGTATGCCAAGGCGTAAAGCAGCATATGTGTCAACCATCTACAATTTTTAATATTTGCTCACAGACATGAGTCATACCAGTATGCTATTATGCTACTTATGCACTGTAATCAGTACACCGCCGTGTATTAGGGCAATGCGATCAACTATGACCTTACTGAAGTATATGTCAAAGTTATTAAGAAAGACCATATTCTTGAAAATGGGAGTGGGAGACAGGCCACCGGATGTGTTTGCCGCTTCAGATAACATCATATTAGCTTGGCAAATCGCGTTCAATGTCCCCTAAAAGAGCTCTGTTTTAGGTAATCTAACCTCATTAAGGGATCTCAGGCTGACAAGAAAACGGTCAGTGTAAGAAAGCATACGACGCATTACCCTCCCTCGTAAAAATTGGGGTCACCTAGAAGCCGGACGGAGGTGGGTATAGGACGAAGAAAGAATGCGCTGATGAAAAAATGGAAGGAAAGAATGAAATACCCTCAGGCATCGGCTCCCGCAAATGGTACACACGTGTCTATGAATGAAAAAGAAGGCATTGAACCCAAAATAACCGCGTTAACTGCGCACTAGCCGATATAAAGTGCATTAAGAATACGTCTCATGAGCTGCTTTGCTTCATAATGCTCAAATACCCGGGAATATTGGCCTGGTCCCAGCCATGGTAGCAGAGATATTCTGTCTTTATTATGCAATGTGCACGGTCTTAATATCGCGTCTCTACAGCGTCATTCGATTGCATTGGCAAGAGGAGGCTTCAGAGATTTGATTGGGTTTCATCAAGACATCATATTTGGTGTACCGTGATCTATAGCCCAATCAAACAATTTTCGCTACATTTCCATCAGTATTCTGACAGGGCTATTTGGAGTTATGAGATGAATGATGAGCCACGGCCCGGCGCGCCGCTGGTGGCCCGCGGCCGTCCGTGACACTTACACAAAATATTTGACATCAGCTGACACTTCACACACAAATACGAGGCTATTTCGTGTCATTCGTCACAGAGATCGACATTTAGTCAAATGCAGCGTAAAGTGATAAGGGATGAAGACATACAAAACAAAATTATACACATACAGAGTCAAACATCCCTAATGCGCCAAGAACGTCTTGGCAGAGTGCTTTAATCTTGTCGGATCCGGGCGTCTCGCCGCCACCGGCAACTGGCTCAGAAGACAGGTGGCTGGGTATGCGAAGGACCGCTGTCGTATCACCGCGCGCACCGCCAGGAGCGTAAGTTCCGATACCTTCGCGCAGCGGTAGCAGTTCGCACATTGTTCGCATTTGGTGGGGCGTGGTGAGGTGTTGGTCATCGTGCGGCACGTGGTCATGCTTTCGGAGGCCGGTGGCTACTCTGCTAGCAGATTTGACTACTTTCAACAGTCAGATGTCGTTAACAGCAGGCCCCTGGCCAGAAACTGCACAGCCGCGTCTCCCGTGCGAGGTGCCTTGACTGCGCGACGGTCAGCAGCACTTGTGGCAGGAGATGTCTGAGGTGGCGGAGACCGATCGGGAGACCGACGCTCTTTTTTGCTACATCACTAACGTTCATCCCAACTCAGGTGGCGCTGAAATAACACGCCCAGGTTTCGCGTTGTCTGGCCCTCCAGCACGGTCTCCTCATCGATCCGTGCGCTGACAGGGAAAATTCCGCTGGTGTTCTGTCAAGTGCCAAGGAGAAGGAGTGCAGGTTTGGATGCGCTGAGATTGAGATCGTGGGTATGGCGCCACGGTGATAGGGGAGTACAGGGTAGTTTTCATGCGTTGGGCGAGGAAAGTAAGGTAGCTTTTGACAAAAATAGGAATTTATGTGTCTTCAGTGTGCTGGATGACATGACAACCTGACGCGTGCAGGCTGGGGGTCAGATTTTAGGCCCCCTTTATTAGGGGTCAGTTTGATTACCTTGATAAATCAAAAGGTAAGCGCTAGAGACATACAATACGCGAGACAGGTGGTACGTGTTTGTGTTCGTGTGAAACCTGCGAACGCGTTTGTGTGAAATTTTGGGATCTCTAGGTCGTGGCTTTCGGGTCCAGTCAGATCAAAAAATACCAATCTAGAGATCAGTGTATGCATGCCCTCAAAGCCCATCACGCAACCAGTGTTAGCATAGAAAGCTGTTCTAAACAAAATGCCAATGGGTGTCATTCAGATCAGTGACCCATATGCCTTTTAGAAGCAAAAACATGTCAGGTTATTTTGCTACTAGAATTTTGCATCAGCTTCAACCACTACCCTAGGTGGCCAAGTTCTCAAATGCAATTTTGATTGAGGTCATTTTTGTTCAGATGCTTCCCGTGACCTTCATAACGTCAGACAGGAATCTGTCGATGCTCTTGTGATGGGTACATTCAAAATGAGCGTCAAAAGCTTATCCGTAAAGCGAGTTTTCCATAACAAAACCGGCATGGCTTGACTTTCATCTCACCTTCATGTCAGACCAAAAGGTTAATGAAAGAAGTTGCTATCCTAATTTCAGTTAAATTATTGTCTTAAAAGCGGTATGACTTCACCTTAAACTCCATTGGCGTATCGGCTTGGAAGAATTCCTAAGAACTGTCTTCGCTGACGACCATGGCTCACCTTTAACCTTGTAACAAAATCTACTTTTTACTTCCAATCATTCTTTTCTGTAGCCCTATACCGACCGCCGTCTACTACCCACACATAACCGCAAGCTGCATACGCTGAACCCGCCGGCCGGGCGACTCATCCTCGATCGGGTGACACGTGATTGCATCAACCGTTATGGATGGGTTATGTGCAGCTAAAAGACTTGCCTCCGTTCAAACCCAGGCCTTCTCACTCACTAGATTCTTCCGTAAGGCGATTCGATACTTCCTTTAAAATGTCGCCTCCAGGGCCTCACCAGCCGTCGTTTGCTTCATACACTTCCCGCATCGCGAGGCCACGTCCTGCTTTGTAGTTGGCTTGGCCGACCATCGTACTATGTCGTACTTGCTCCTCATTAGTTAATTATCACATCTTTCTGGAGTTTGTGACCATGAATCGTTTCGGATGCATATAGTGTATAAGGCGCTCCGTTGATGACCATGTATGCTCATTCGCTCTCGGGCTCAAGCAAACAAGACCATTTTTCGCTCTGTACGTGGTCACGGTGGTGTGAGTGCTGGTGAGTGGAAGTTACCAGAAAATAGAAGCTGTTGACTTACAATATTTATATGTCTCTGACAGACGACAAAGACATGCAGCAGCAGTCTTCACAAGTCTGTCTATCACGCCAGCAGTGAGAAATCTGCTGCAGACCTGCTACATCTACAGCTGCATGACATCTAAAACCTTACATCTACATCATCATGTTACATGACATCTACCTGCTACGTTATATAGGCGAGGTACGGCAGGGAGATGTCCAACAGTGTCCAGAGCTGGATTTTTAAGTCCCCCTCTCGTGCACGTTCGTGGCAGGCAAAGGCAGCCGTCGGTGCTGCTGGCTCCCGAAATAACCGCCAGCTGAACGAGGGTCGGACGCCTCGGGTGACTGGGGTCGTAACCCCAGGCGCGTCCTGATACAGACCGCCCCTGGGGTGTGGTTCCTTTGTATAATATGAAGAGGAGGGTATCGGACCCATACATCTCACATCACCAGGAAAGCGTAAAGAACCGAAGCGATCACAGCAAAAAGATCAACCGCCTGGACACGTGCGAATAGTAAATTTAGAGGTGCGCACATTTCAAAGCTGGTATGAACACACAAGTTAACTGGTGGTAATCACACCTACCACCTGATACGGTGGCTTCAATGGCCTTCAAGTTTACAGAAAAAGGACCATTGCCAAGCACGCCCCACGTGTCCGTCAAGGTCGTGGGGCGTGCGGCTGCACAATTCACTGCTCCTTGGCAGGACCACGCTCGACATCTGTGCCCGCCTCAACTACTCAGGGCAGGATCACACACCCGCATAAATTTCAGCCAGTCAGCTACGATATAGCACATAACTGAATGTGTATTCCTGATGCAAATGTCGCTGCTTAAACATTTGTGACACTTACGTGAAGTGCAAAATATCGCTTGCTCAACTGCACTTGCTGACTTGCACAACTCTCGCGAATCTAGAGGGAGCCGCAAACACCGAACAATTACACCGCACGCATCCCACTAGACTTGGCACAATATCTGGCGAGTGTAACAGCGCTAGATTTCACGGCAATGCAGTTTTCCAGAAATCTACAAAAAAAATTCAGGCGTCCTGCAACCTAAGTCCCCTAGGATGTTTAAAAAGCCTGTAGGACAAAAAGCAAGCAAAATTAGAACGCCCAACCCTCCTGGGAAAGAGCCCACCCACCACCTGCCATCTGTTTCATTGGAACACAAACTATAAATGGCATCCGTAATATGATTTGCTACTTCCTTTACAAAGTCGCCATTAGCGCCTCACCAGCCTTCCGTTACATGATATAATTCAGGGGTCGCAAGGCAATCTCACGCTCTGTGATTGGTTTAGCCGACCATTATACGGTGTCTACTCACTTCTGATTTGTTCATTATCACATCATTTCCGTAACATGAGATTATGCCCCATTGTGTTGGCGCAGTGTACAAGGCGCACCGTTTATGAACATGTGCTCTCATACGCTCACTAGACTCGAAGGCGCGAGTCTGCTGTTGCTTGTGCCCATTGACGTTGCGATGTGAGTGTTAGTTAGCGTGAGATACTGGACAATAGAAGCTAGTAACTGACACTGTTTATCTTTTTCTGACTCACGGGAAAGACTAACACGAGCAAGCTCATCGCTACTTTAGCTATCACACAAGCAGTAAGAAATCTGCTACAGCGAGTTCACGATCGTAGAGCGCACATGCCATTCCCCTTGAGACTTTCTCCCTTTTTTGTCGCTATGCGAAGACGCCAAAATCGCAAGACTTTTTGAGAAAAAAATCACCGTTTCTTGAGCTTCGGTATGCGTTGCGTCGGTTTTAAAAGAACGAAAGTTCGAGACATTCATAGCAAACTTCTTGACTCTGACAACAGATAATCATTCGATGGTTCAATAAAATACAGACACGGCACAAGCTGGCCGGCATTGCCATGTAGCCAGGCTCCGTTTCAGTCCAGTGCAGCTGATGGACAGCGTCCGAGCAGGTGATATGTGCTCGGAGCTGAGCACTGGGATGATGCTTCTGGACGATGACAAGTCCAGATAAGTCAGCACCCCTGCCGATGGTTTGGCAAAGAGGGTGACACACCGTCACGAAGACCAGACAATCCAGACAGCGATATCGTTTCAGCTGGAGAGGCTTGAGTCCGTCTCGAGAGGCGTAGGTACGCACACAACGTTGACCTGGTTTCTCGGAAAATAACATGACTGAAATTAGGAACCCAACTCATTCCATTGGCCTGAGATCTGCCATGAGCGTTAGATCATGGTCAAAAGAAGCCTCTTTATTACTGGGCAGCCTTCCGTATAACAAAAATGCTTTGAGCAGCTCATTTCTGATTTATTAATCATGCGGACGTCAACAGATATTCTATTTTGGCTTCATGGAGGTCAGAAGAACTCATGATGATTTATTGAGACACAGGGACTGAACACAACATTCCGGAACTACTAAAACAGCAATTAAGTATTTCTCTTGTGGAATGCTATGTTGATAGTCGTAATTGTAAAACATGTATTTTTACAATACACGAGGGACATGCATCGTGTACTGAAGCGAATAACTTTTCTCTGGCAGAAATTCCTTGTTTCTCGCGATGTCCGGCAAAAATAAAAAGAGAGTGTCATGGTGCTCTACTTCACCCTATTTTGCTCACTCACGAATGTCAAACAATGTGAACATTTCCGTTCAGATCTTTGATCATTATATTGAGACGTGGCTAATGTATTTCGGTCTATCATCATCATCTCTTGGATAATAGGATCAAGTAACTGATCATCATCAACCTTCAGCGGAGGATCATGTTGATAAAAATCATGAATTAGCTTCTTGCCGAAGTGAGCTACGACCTACTGTCGGGTGGGCTTGTACCTGCCTCTGGGTGGGCCTAAACCTTCTGCCGGTTGGGCCTGGACCTACTGCCCGGCGGGCCTGGGCCTACTGCCGGGTTGGACCAGGACCTACTGCTGGGGTGAGTCAGGACCTACTGTCAGGATGGGTCAGGACGTACTGTCGGGTTGGCCAGGACCTACTGCCGGGATGGGTTAGGACGTACTGTAGGGTTGGGCCAGGACCCACTGCCGAGATGGGCCAGGACGTACTGTCGGGTTGGGCCAAGGCCTTCTGCCGGGATGGGGCAGGACGTACTGTCGGGTTGGGCCAGGACCTACTGCCGGGATGGGTCAGGATGTATGTCGGGATGGGCCAGGACCTACTGTCGAGATAGGTCAGGACGTACTACCGGGATAAATGCTTCCCAAAAATGCTTGGGAGATCATGCGATGACCAACATACCCGAGAACCTACAGAACTGCTCGATTTTTATTTGCCACCTTATGGATGCAAATAGAATACCACATCGCTTTTCGGTTTTAACCCACACCTTTCGTCTTGCACACCGCAGACTACCGTACAGATTACATCCCCGCACAAAATGGCACGTGCGTTTGGTGTGTGAATCGGTGTTCTTAGCGCCGATGACTTTTTGGAATTTTAAGGTGGCAAACACTCTTGTCGTGTAAAATCACTCTGCGCAAGCTTTTCTGGTTCTTACATAGCCTAAGCAGTGCACAATTCCCGAACCACGCTGTTGACCTATTGCTAGAAACGGCACGCTGTCACGATCGCAGCAAACAAAGCAGACTCACACGTAGCCTCGCCTGAAGGACTGCGTTCTTTTGCTTGCTTTACTCACTCGCTCACTAGCGCTGATAAATCTTAGTTTAGAGCCGTCCTGCTCAGGCTTCTTAAAAATGCCCTTGATAATAGTTGCCAAACGGCCATCATAAGGCTTGACTTAGGTGCTCATTAGCTCAGCCGCTCCTTCATGTGCGGCTCCCACGTCAGCCGCGGTTTATTCTATGCTCAGCTATGAGAGGAGAGTCGAGCCAACTCATTCTTTCTCTTCCAACATTTTCTTCCTTTTTCTCGATGCAGGAAGCATGTCGCTTCTTCAAAAGTCTTAAACAGATAAATCACTTAAAGTAAGTCAACGCCGAAACCCCCGTTATATCACGGGCTGTGCAAGAGTGTGAATTCCGCCGTGCGATCAGGCTTTTATGTGGCTTTCGAGAAATGTGTACCAGTGGTCCTAGTTAAAGATTCACTTAGGTCCAAACCGTTAACTTTGGCTTGTTAAGTGGAGATAGTTTGCATATCCAAGAAATTGGGCTTGGGAAGAAAGTTTACGCGGAAAAACGCATAATGCAAACCTGTTTCGCTCCTGGCTCCGATATATGGCTTCATGTGGGAGCGACGAACGCAGTGTTCAATCCCTTTCAAAATATTAGGCTTCCCATTCGTATTAAAGGTTTCATAGAGAGGAACATATTGATCACATCCGTTATTGTCATGTGCTTTTTCTCTCCTAAATGCAAAATAATTCATATGTATCAACAGAGTAATTATAAAAATTATGGGCTAGAGGTTCGGCCATTGTAGGCACTTATAGATATGCGCACCGTATAGTTTTGTGGAAGTTTTTTGCGTAGGGAGCGTTGTGATAGGCTTTTTAATATTGTCTTTTCGGCGGCGTTTAATGTAAACGTGCATAAGTAACTGTTTTGTTACAATTTTCCTGTGGCTAAACCAGCAACAATCGACATGTGTCGTGGGAAATGTAAGTGGGGTGCATAGACGATATTTTCCAGTCTTGGTTTATTTGCTCCATAGTGATGCGTAGCAAGCCATTCACATCGATGCACTTTTGAAATAGAATAATGATGCTTTTGATTTTACTACACGGGTCTATTCTAGTATATACTCGCATTGTGACCACAAAAGGATTCACAATTGCTCTTTGCTAGAACGAACAAAAATCCGATTCAAAACTACACGAATCCCGAATGACAATGTTTCGTAACTTTTACTTTGTCTTGCAACGTCATGGACAAAACGTCCTAGAAACCACCATCGCATGCCACTCGCCGCCCCAAGGCCGGTGTTAAAGGCACAAATTTGCTTCCATATTATCAAATAAAGACAGCATTTTTAACCTCAGACGACATCATATCAGGTGAGTAAGCCGTGACATCTTATAAATATCATTAAAACAATTCATTTACCGACTTTGTCTGAGGTTAACCACAAAGAAGACATCATGAAACACGATTTGCGCAACGCTTTTAAGGCAGGATACTTTGAGAACTGCTTGACAAATAATTTCATAGAACTCTGAGATATTTCGGTAAGTTCTTAACTTATACTCCGTACAACTCACCGAGACCTCTCGACTTCGACGCCTGTGATTTGGGCACCCCTTCACATAGCACAGTGCATTAGGTGTTACAAGGTGGCAGCTTAAATTATTAATTAATTTGGATTCTTTCTATTCGTCCAGTCTGCAGATAGTTGGAACATCCGCCTTCAGCCACGTGCCATAGTTTGTGAAACTCAGTTTTCGCCTTACCTTGACCACTGGTGGCTCTGAGCACTGCTAGAATGTTGAATATTTCCTTAGTATGTTTCAGTAATTGCTTGATATCTTCTTCTAAACAGCACATCTTGGTGCATTTAAGGTTATTATGTCATCATCATAGCTCCAGTTGTCGAAAGCAGCATGTCCGTTCACCGAATGCCTTAATCTCAAGAGAGACAGACTGTTTGAAGTAACAGACTGCCTGGGGCCCCGCCGCTCACCGTAGGTGGTTGATGTAGCTGTTAACAGAGATAACGAGGTCCGGGCGGCAGGATGCTGGGGGCAGCAAAGAAAAAGATTTGTGCATCCTATTCCGCCATTCAGGAAATTGGTTCGTCACGCTCATCCCAGATAATATCCTAGACGCCTGCCATGACCGTCATACTGGCGTAGCCATTCTCTCTACGTCCACGTCATTAATTGACTCACTCGGTTCGGGTAGCTGTCTATCGTAATCGTCTTATTTATATATATATATATATAATATATATAATATATATCTCTGTCTTCTCTTCTATTCCCTGCTATACATCTCTCTATCTCTCCTCTCTATTCTATCTCTATGATATATCTCTCTCTATCTCCGCCTGAAGGCGTAGAACTAATGCTGCCGATGAAGCTGACGTCGACATGAGAGCAAGTTTGGACCTGTTTTATGACTGAGCCGTAAGTGAAATAAAGTTCACTGCTCTCGGCTGGAAATACAGGCGCTGCTCCTCAAGATTCCGTTATCTAGCGTTGCTCGAGCGTGGCGGAGGATCGAGTGCGCTCCAGCCACCAACTGTCGCTCTGCCGGCCGGTCCTAACCCCGAGTATGCAGGCATTGCCCGCGCACGGCATCGGACCAGACGGCAGCGCGCTGCTCGGCAGGATGGCCATGGCCGTGTGTCGGCGTGCTACCGTACTCCCTGACTGCAAATCAGCTGCGGCGGCGGCATCCCATACGGAATGACCTCTGATGTTGATGCACGGACACAGGCGGCATACTTTCTAAACGAAACGTTGCGTGGTTTTCGTGGAAATTCGAGAAGAAAATTGGGCTTCCTACAATCGGCCTTTCAACCGTGATAAGTGCAGCACAACGGCACAATTGTCATTCGTGTAATGGGTGGTTCTGCTCAGTTCACTGCACTTGACCTCACCGCATGAATAATGCAGCGCGAAGGGCACGCCGCGTGTGTGCCACGAGCAGCTGTAGCCAAACTTCGCGGATAAATTGCAGCGTTGAAAGGCAGCAGCAGAGAGAAATATATCCGTATAACAAAAATGAGCATGAGACGCAAAACATTCCATGTATTGACTTAACAAACAGTTAAGGCCGGCTCCATCACTTTAGCATCTAGGCTGCATTCGGGAAAAAGCCTTAAATGCGTTTGGGTAGTGCGCGAAGTGGTAATGCGCTGGGTAATGGATCTTACTATCTGGCCGGATACCAGATGAGCCAGACAGTAGCAATTATCCTCCCAGGCAGTGATATCTCGAGAAGCTGTATTGCAGGGAGGCCTTTTATAAACATTGCCGCGTAATTTATCACCGATGCAAACATCATGTTCGTGCGCAATAAATTTTAAGCTGAGGCATTCCGTCCACCCCTTATTTAACTCTTAGTGCGTCTCAGTTTTCCCTAATTCGTACGTCTATTTTTGCCATCGGGTTCAGTACAACAAGGCTGTCTAGTCTGATATCCAAGTATGGCTTCGATCACGTCAATTTATAGTAACTAACAAGTGAGTGCTAGGACATGATACCTGATTTGGATAGCTGTAGCTTCAATTCATTTGGAGGCATTTACATGAAACCACCGTTGACATCTGTTGGCCACCTAGTTTAACATTGTAACATCAATGGTTCGCCACAACGGGGACATATATACCGGAGGGAAGCACTTTTTTATGGAGCTTGCGCGTCATTGGTCGTACGGCCTTTCTTGACATCATGCGCGACTTTTCCAAGTCCCTTTCATCCGCTGTTTGAGCATTCGCTGCAACTTAAACCCCATCCCCATAGACCCCTCGTCTCATCGCATCCCACGGTGTTCAGTGGGTCGAATCTGAGGTACGTCGGGTGGATTTTCATCTCGTGACACGCAAGCATCCTTGCGGTTCGGCCATCAACTGCACGGTAGTTCGTACATAATGGGGAAGTCCCGGATCTGACCGAACACAAATTCCCATAAAACACCGAAATTTGCCAATTGAAATGTGACAGGAAATGACCGGTTTGTCCTAAAAAAGAATTGAACCTCTACCAGCTCGAACGAAATGTTACCTGCTATGTTCAAACAAGACATCAAAACGTTATGTAGTGTTGGATGGGCGTTTTTCACACTTTCGCAGGAAGAGCAGGACCCCGAAGGGGCTATCCCAAAACTGAACAAGGTGGATCCAAGCAGAAGACGGCATTGCATTGCTTGCGCAAAGCTGTATGAAGCAGGCCCGAAGGACACAACAAAATTCCAGTCGAGATTTCTTGCGGTGGCGCGTTTTACGTAATGTATACCTAGATGACTTAACATTTGGATCTCGTGGAATGGTATAATTACGTAGTATCACGATGCACAGAGGGTGGTCTATTCTTCGACGGACATACCTTGACGGGCAACTGAACATAAAATCATCCAAAATGACGTCCGCAAAGAGGTCTCTGCTCATGATCTAGGGTATGGTCTTTAGGTAGGGTCTTTAAATTGTGACGGAAATGGTAAAAATGTTGTAAACAGGTTTTTGAAGGCTTTAGGGCAAAACGCTTAGTAGCTTTACAGTTTTCCAGAAAAATCTCGCAGAAGATCTTTGGTCCGTCACCAAGCAAGCGTGAAAAGAACCGATGAAGCATTTTATATTTATAGGACTAGTTGATTTAGTTTGAGCCTTCTTCACCTTACATACCATACGCAAGCACATTCACTACACGTGTATGTTGTTCCATGTGTTAAAAGACTCCATATCGACGGGCTTTCATTTTGTACAAGAATAGGATGGGATGGAGAGATTTCGGCCGCTTTAAATTATCATATTTGACGTCCTATAACAGCCTGATTATGCTAATATTACTCATAGGCTCCGGTAAACAGTCAAGTTCCATGCGACGCCTTCGCTTGCTTGTTGTCCCGTATCTAGTATAAGGCGGCGCATAACTAGGTGTGTCTACACACAGCGATATCTACATCCGCGATGAGCTGAACTATGCCAGGGGGAAGTGAGCCGTCATGGGATATGCACGGTGAGGAACAGTTGGGTTAATAGAAGTGGGCCAACACACTAGGTTCAAGCATGAGCTTTCTCACTGAGCCCTAGTGGGACAGCCTGCGCGCATATTGCGGCCGCATAAGTGAATCAATAGACGCCTTTGTATTCACAACATGTACTATAGCTTTTAAATGACATGCCGGATGCCGAATGAATGAATACCGAATGAATACCGAATGACATGCCGAATATTTGTAACCGTTGAAACCCCTTGCAAATGCCACTCGTATAATGAGCCGAGCCCCGGGCATGACGCGAACGGCTCGCTTCGACCTGTGCCGAAGCAAACACAGCAGACGGCAGGGTGACAGACCGCGCGCCGCCGCCGCCAACCGACCATGTCGAAGATCTGCGTGAGCGTGATGCCCAGCTGGATGCTGATGGAGTGCGAGGCGTTCAGCAGTGGCCGCACGTCCGGGTCGTAGCCTCGCACGATGAAGTCCATCAGCTTCTTCTCTTCATTGTTTTGCAGTCTGCCGTCCTGTGGCACCTCCGGCTGGCCTGGAACAAACAGTGGCCCAGGTCAATACGACAGCAAGGTGACCTTACCCTGCTCTCGTGCCCACAACTCATCGGTAAGTTCTGTTGTCGAGTCCACAAGTCTTGCTGTCGGGTCCACAAGTCCTGCTGCCGAGTCCACAGGTC